ATACCTTTTCATCATCTAGGTTTCACAGCACAGGGAAATCCAAAATAACTGTTGCAAGAGACTAAAGTTCAATCCAGAAATAAATTGGAGAGAAACGGTCAAACAAGACTCGACCCCATGAGGAAATAACTCAACTGGGGAATAATTCCATCCAGATAAAAGCTGGGGAGGAAAGCTAAAACAAACATCTTCCACGAGGCATAAACTCAGTGGGGAATTAGAAAGGATGGACATTTTCTGCTTAGGGGTCAACACTCTAATGGAGAAAGGACACACGCATTCCGCAGGGGTAACAACATCGAAGAGAAAAGAAACACCAACAAAAATGCAAGATGCACAATGCATATGGGTATGAATATGCTGACAAAACACACAAAAAGGATAAACAGAGGGTGAACAAAATATCACAACACCACTTGAAATACTCGGCTAATCTCTACAAGTTGGAGACATTACTAGAGATCATGTTGGGGATTAGCAACAAAAATCTTGCAAGAAATAAGAAAAATCCATCAAAGGAAAATAAGTCCTACTACAAGGCTCAAATACCACTGTGAAGAGAAAGATACTGCTTGGGGAAAATCCAGAGATCAATCTTCAATAATTAGTAATTTGAAAAAGGGATAACAACATCAACTCTGCTTTAAGGACAAAAGATAAATTGTTGGGGGAATATCAACCCAAATCTTCTTGATTCGTCCTGGGTTTAAGCATAATCCATTCGAACCCGGCTTCAAAAGGATGAAAAGATCTGCTGAGGAAAATAATGGATCCGCTGGAGGATTCTAATCATGTAAACATCTACACAAACTTCATTGGCGAATAACAAAGCTCTTCTGGGGATACAATAAAGAACTCTAAGAAACATCCAATTCTGAAGGAGATATCCTAGACCTATCGGGGAAACTAAGAAGTTAACCATAGCAAAAAGTCAAGATGTGGGGGATTTTAAATCAATACTCAACACAAGGTGAGAGAAAACCCAACAGGTGACACTTCTTAAAAGAAAGCAACATTATTCTCTACTTGGGGAATAACCCAAAGTAAATATGCATAACCTCTATTGGGAATCAACAAAGATAAATCTCTATATGGGCATTAATATCAAGGATAGGCGACCCTCAAAACTGCTCAGCTGTCTGATCATAACTTGGCTGGATGAAAGAAATATACCCAGATGGAGAAAATTTTGAATCAAGACTTAGCAGGGTAAACCGAACAACACTGATTTGGTTACCCAAAGGAACAAAACTCTGCTAAGAGAAAATCAGCAAACTCTACTGGAGAAACCTTAGCACAACTCTATTGGGGAGCTGTCAATAAATTCTACTAGAGGAGCAAGGAAAAACCCTGATGAGGAAAACATCAACAAACTCTACTGGGGAGCTATACCAACAAGAACAAACTCCGCTGAGGAAAACACTAAGTTTTGCGCTTTGAGATCTTACCATTCTTAGGATAACTATTAACATTCCTTTTTATATTAATAAATCAATGAAAAATGTTTTTATAATTTTCAAAATTTAAATCAATTATTCATATTTGTTTCAAAAATCATCATAAAACATAAAATGAAATTCTATAAACAGAAACAAAATAAGAATTGCAAACAAAGGGACAAAGGCCCAAATTTTATTGATAGAACGATACTCTGCAAAAAGGCGTAACTCCATGGATCATTACAAAATTTGAAAAATGGTAAGTACAATGAAAAGTGCTACAATGAAATACAATGACCACTATTCTCCCTAACAATTTTGAATTCCAATTGTGCTTGAGACTTCAGTTGAGGATAATTGAAGTAAAGTCCTCGATACGAAATATTGCTTCAAGCGATCAAGACCGTCCATATGTAGTTACTTTCCATAATCCCTAAATTTTACCTAGATTGCCCATCCGAGTTTTCAATCTATCGGATGATTATATTCTATTTTTTCCTGGATCGCCCTTTCGGGTTTTCAATCCACCGAGACGCTCATTTTAGCCTAAGCCGCCCTTTCGGGTTTTCAACTTAGCGAGTTGTTCTTTTATCTTTTTAGGCGAGGTATTTCTTGACTGCATCGGCATTCACAGGACGAGTGAACTTTTCACCATCCATAGTTGTAAGAATTAATGAACCGCCAGAGAAGGCTCTCTTAACAACATACGGGCCTTCATAATTAGGAGTCCACTTGCCCCTAGACTCATTGGTAAAAGTCGAGATCTTTTTTAGCACGAGGTCGCCTTTTCTGAACATACGAGGTTGAACCTTCTTATCAAATGCTTTCTTCATTCTCTATTGATATAATTGGCCATGACACAAGGCCGTCATCCTTTTGTCTTCAATCAGATTCAACTGGTCGTATCTACTCTAACACCATTCAGCCTCAGACAATTCAGCTTCCATTAAAACTCTCATAGAAGGGATTTTAACCTCTACCGGGAGCACTGCTTCCATACCATAAACAAGAGAGAAAGGGGTTGCCCCTGTTGAAGTGTGGATGGATGTACGATACCCATGCAAAGCAAAGGGGAACATATCATGCCAATCCTTATAGGTAACAACCATCTTCTAAATTATCTTCCTAATGTTCTTATTAGCAGCTTCAACAGCCCCATTCATCTTAGGTCTGTAAGGAGAAGAATTATGATGCTCAATCTTAAATGCATCACATAATTCCTTCATCATCTTGTTATTCAGATTCGACCTATTATCAGTGATAATCTTGCTCGGAACACCATACCGATAGATGATTTGATTCTTGATAAACCGAACCACTACTTGCTTGGTCACATTGGCATATGATGTCGCTTCGACCCATTTGGTGAAATAGTCAATAGCCACGAATATGAAATAGTTTCTGTTCGACGCTTTAGGCTCAATCACTCTAATCATATCAATGCCCCACATGGAGAAAGGCCATGGAGAAGAGATAACATTGAGAGGAGTTGGAGGCACATGAATTTTGTCAGCATAAATTTGGCATTTATGGCACTTCTTCACATATTTACTACAGTCAGATTCCATCGTCAACGAATAGTAACCCGCCCTTAACATCTTCTTAGCCATTGCATGTCCATTGGCATGGGTACCAAAGGATCCCTCATGAATTTCTTTCATCAACATGTCTGCTTCGTGTCTATTCACGCATCTGAGCAAAATCATCTCATAATTTCTCTTATACATCACATCATGATTCAAGAAGAAACTACCAGCCAATCTTCTCAAAGTTTTCTTATCCTTCTTGGATTCGCCAAGTGGTTACTCTTGATTCTGAAGAAAGCATTTAATATTATAATACCAAGGTTTATCATCAACAACCTCTTCAACTGTAAACACATGAGTTGGTTTATCAAGGCGCATAATATCAATTTTTGGTACATCATTCCACCGATTTACCATAATCATGGAGGATAAAGTCGCTAAAGCATCTGCCATTCGATTCTCTGCTCTTGGTATATGGTGAAACTCAACCTTATTGAATAAAGTTGACAACCTTCTTACGTAATCACGATAAGGAATCAAATCAGGTTGACGTGTCTCCCACTCCCCTTTAATCTAATTAATCACCAGAGCTGAATCTCCATATACATCAAGGATCTTGATTCCTAGATCAATAGCTTTTTCTAAGCCCATAATACATGATTCATACTCATCCGCATTATTTGTGCAAGTCAAAACCAACTTTGCACTAAAAGGAATATGAGAACCATGAGGGGTAACAATAATTGCTCCAATACCATTGCCATATTCATTAACAACTCCATCAAAAATCAAACCCCATCAGGATCCAGGCTCAGGTCCTTCCTTAGATAATGGTTCCTCACAATGTTTAACCTTTAGATACATCATATCCTCATCAGGAAAATCAAACTGGATAGGTTGATAATCATCAATTGGCTGGTGTGCCAAATGATCAGCCAAAACACTTCCTTTTATCGCTTTTTGAGTTCGGTACTCGATATCATATTTTGACAACAACATTTGCCAACGAGCAATCCTCCCAGTTAAAGCAGGCTTTTCAAAGATATACTTGATTGGATCCATTTTAGATATCAACCAATTTGTACAATTCAACATATGCTGGCGGAGGCGCTTGGCAGCTCAAGCTAAAGCACAACATGTCTTTTCAAGCATTGTGTACTGAGACTCACAATCAGTGAACTTCTTGCTCAAATAATAAATGGCAAATTCTTTTCTTCAAGATTCATCTTGATGATCCAGAACAAAGCCTATAGAATCGTCTAGCATGGTCAGATACATGATCAAAGGTCTTCCTTCCACGTGAGGAGACAAAATAGGAGGTTCAAGCAGATACTCTTTAATTCTTTCAAAAAGCTTTCTGACAATCTTCTGCCATACACAACCCTGATCCTTGCAGAGAAGCTTGAAGATCGGCCCACATGTGGCAGCCATATTGGATATAAATCGGGAGATATAGTTCAAACGTCCCAGGAATCCTCTTACTTGCTTTTCTGTTTTGGGTGCAGGCATTTCTCTAATAGCTTTAACTTTACCAGGATCAACTTCAATGTCTTTCTGACTGACAATAAAGCCCAACAACTTTCTAGAACGGACACCAAAAATGAATTTATTAGAATTCAAACAGAGCTTAAACTTTCTCAAACATTGAAACAACTTCAATAAGTATTCAATATGATCTTCTTCAGTCTTCGACTTACAAATTATATCATCCACATAGAACTCAATTTGTTTATGCATCATATCATGGAACAGAGTGGTCATAGCTCTCTGGTAAGTTGCACCAGCATTTTTCAAACCGAAGGGCATCACTCTATAACAGAATGTTCCCTAGGGTGTTATGAATGTTGGTTTCTCCATATCCTCAAGTGCCACCTTTATTTGATTATAACCGAAAAATCCATCCATAAATGAAAAGATATTGAACTTAGCAGTATTATCTACCAGTAAATCGAAGAATCTCTTTTATACTCTCTTTTATATTTAACAATAATTGGTATTAATATATTTGTCAACAATGTAAATATTAATATATTTGTCAGATTAGAGGAAATTTGTAATAATAGAGGTACATGGAAAATACAGTGATAATAGAGGCACTTAACCAATTATGATCAAGAATCTCTTTTATACTCTCTACACGTAGATGCTCTAAAAACTCCTCACCAAATATACTTTCCTCCATTTTTATTTGAATTAACGATCCAACCCTCATCATCTTTTTCACATACATATCAAGGAAAGGTAAATTTACAAGATTGGTTGAACCGCCAACTCTAGGAGACTCTTCAATTTGGAATTTTTTGTTGCTTTTGTTAGGTGACGAAACAAAATCAACACTTCGTTGGGTGTTCTTAACTTTGTTTTGGGACTGATCAGGATTCTAAAAAGTTTTATTAATTAAGGTTAGTGATCAAATAATAAAACAAATAACGATCAAGCAAGTTAATAATAAGTAATTTACCTTTTCACATTCAACAACAATTTCAACAAGTTTCATTGGCCATGGCACAATTGTTCCTATTGCCTGACAAACCATCGATACATCACCACCTTCAACAGATATAGGCAATTGAGCATTTGGCACAATAGCAACTTCGATATTAACCTTGACATATCTAGGTGGTAACGTCATGTCGTGCACTGTGTTACCTTTGGTGTTATATAGTTTGCCACGAGCAACCAAACACCGACTCGGGGATGATAAATATATATTAACAGAAAAGAGACCCTAAACCAAATGAGAAATGAATAAAAACATTAATATCATTATTTACAAAACAAACATATATGAACTGCTTTGAATTTAAGCATTTTGCGCATGTTTTATACTAAAAAAATTAATATCACTCTTCCTCACAGGCCTCACTTTGTTTTCATTTCACACCAGAGAACCTATCTATGCTAGCTTATAATACAAATTATACCTACAAACATATGCTCTAAAATATGAACAGGATGACAACACCAAAATTATTGAAATAACCAATCACGGTTAATATGAAATAGCAGAAATATAAACATTTTAACAGCTGAAATAACCAATCTCAGAAAATTACTATAACACCAAAATTCACTTTGAACAGAAGAATTTAATCTTTAGAAAGAAAAATAATACAGGGCAAGAAAATGAGGCATCTTCTTAGGCAAAAATAATAAAAATAAAAAACCTCTTCAGAAGCCAGAGCATAAAAGATACATCAAAAGAACAAAGCCTTCCATCCCTCTCTATATATGAGATTGTCAAACACAATAAAGCAACCTTCAAGTAGCCGCAACATAAAAGCCACAAATAGAACTTTATACAAACAAACAAGTGCCACATTGCGGGAGTATTACCAAATGATACAAATTATTTAAAGAAGCCAATTACCTCGGGAGTATTACCAAATGATACAGGGTCACAAAAACCTTTATCACTTAACTCTTGCCTCTGTGTCCCTTTTCAGGCTGTTGCAAGCTCTTTGACACTTGTTCAGGTTGTTGCCTTTCTGCCACTTCTTCAAGTTGTTGCAAGGTCTGTGCCACTTTTTCAGGTTGTTCTTTCTCGGCCACTTCTTCGGTTTTTTTGCCTCTCTATCTTCTCTCTATCCAACTTATCTCTCTCCAGCTTCTCTCTCTAGCACCTCCAATCTACTTTTGAGTGTGTTGCAAAAGCCATACAATTTTTGAAAGTCCATTTGTGTGGGGCGAGTTTGGCATGGTAATATGTCCCTAGAACATACCCCAAAACCGTAACTCCTAATACGCCCAGAGTAGTTTGGGAGATTTAGAGCCTCGAATAATATGTCCGTAGGACTAAGGTCTTGTCTCTCTTCTTCAGTTAGAGCTTCTGTTAACTTCTCCTTGATAAATATAAAAGACTTGTTACAATAAAATCAATTTGAACACTTTCATTAAGATTAACCGAGATCCAAAATATTTTCATTGATCCAAAATATTAACATTCGACTTACACATTGATCCACAACTCTTTGAACATTCTCATTATCAATCACCCCATTCTTATTGACGCGGGCAACCTTCCACACTTGACTACAATTTATCTCATCTTCTCCCGACTCTTCTACCTGTATATACATTTTGACAAATTAACATAGCAATTAAAAAAATAATTTATAATCTTGTACACTACTTTTATACACATACTTACCATATCAGCTTCAAGACGAGCACACCTTAAACGTGACTTTCTATAGGGAGTTGAGGATTTAACGCTCTTTCTCGATTTTCACTACTAACTTTCTGCATTAAAACCACTATAAGACATTAGTAGTAGTGTTACTGTTTTATACTTGTGAGTTGTGATTAATTATGCAGAGAGGAAAATATGAAAGTACATAACTAGAATCCAATGGAATTTCATACTTGTAGGACATTTATAATGAAATATTTTACTATTAAAACAATAACAAAAGCATGTATGAAAGCCAGGAGTGATGGTGCTCTCATTGTAGTAACAACTTCAGATGTCTCCTGCATTGAGAGACATTTTGATCATTTCTGGTAATTATGCAATTATGCAGCTTCAGATGTCTTCTTTATATATTCTTTGGTTCTACGTTAGAAAGTTAAACCCAAACCTCTCTAAGGTAAATTCATCTCCCAAGTGTTCCACACAGATACAGAGATATAGGTAGTAAAAATCTGAACCTTGTTTTATTTATGTCTACTCAAATTAATGTTGTAACCCATTAAACTCTAATGGAAGTTCCCAAATCCCCTTCCAAAGATAAACGATTCGCCACCAAACATAAACTGTTGTTTAAAATCGGTGTTGTCATTTTCATCCTTATTCTCTTGTTTCTGGATTTTTATCTCGAGTCTTATAACAGGAAACCTAATGCGTCGTCGTATTATACTGTGGTTATAGACTGTGGAAGCACATGAACACGGGTTAATGTATATCCGTGGATGCTAGGGAGTTTAGTAAGTAATAGAAATTTTCCAATTTTGTTACATTCATATCCTATTCAGCACAGATTAATGTATATCAGATTATGATCATTCTTCATAGATTATGCAATTATGCAGATTATGTTTGACAGGAAGAAACTGTGATGGCAAACCTATTCAGCATCAATTCCTCTAAGAACTTGCATTTTGTACGGTGTTTTACGAGGTATGTCGGATTTGAGAAGTATCGGTACAATATCAGCTAAGTGTTAACATTGCTATGAAAATTTGTATGCATGATGGATAGAGATAAATAATGACAAGTTATTACCTGAAACTTTTTAGTCAGACGCTGAGCTACAAATTTATCCCAATCCTCTTGTGTTATACAGTAAGAATATTTTGTCGGTCGATCTTTAACAAAACCACCCTTACTATCTCTTAGATAGAACTTTTCCATTTTTGTCCTGAATGCCCTGTGCAACTTTCCAGCTTCTTTATATATGAATGCACGATGTTCTTCGCAAATTACAAAAGCTTTCTGTAAACAACTCAATTTATTAAAACACTGTTCAGGTTATTTAAACATCCAAACAGATAATTTATGGAATTAAAATTTTACAACAAGCTTGAGTTAGTGTGTTACTTCAATTTCATCCCAAATGTTTTGTTTATAAACCCCTACATCCTCTTTATTTTTTGTTGCACTCCAATTGTCCAAACTAATTGGAACTAACCGAAGAACCGTGACACCAATATAACTAGCAAAACTCTTGCTATTATGCTTGATTGGTTGACCTCTTGCATTCCATTGAACCTATAACAAAATTAAAGTGCAATTAAATAATCATCAATCTCACTAATATTCTAAGACAATCAGCGGTCTCACAAAAATCTAGCTATTTTACCTCAATCCTCCTTCCATTGCTTTTGGCTTTGTGAATTTTTTGCAACCGAGTCACACCACATTTACCAACTGTTTTCGTACTAGACGAACCACCTTCATCATTAGTAGAAACCATATTTAACCTGTAAAAAGTGTAATAGTATTATATTTGATGACATTGTTCATGCAAACTCAGACAAACATAAAACACAATATCATTCTTAAACAGCATTTTATTCACTCACATTAAAGACAATTTTCAAGTGATTCCACAAATTTTCAAGTCGGCCTTTTCCTCTTCCTTGTAATTGGATTCCTACTTTTGTGTTTTCTAGATACATAAAATGATGGGTTGATCCAAATCCCATCATTATGATCGTTTCTCATATAAAGAATATCATTTATAATTGGTTCATCCTCAAGGGATTGTGATGTATTAAGGAAAGGATCATCCTCAACATCTATACTTTGAGTGTTTTGATCATTTATTTTGTTACTTAGAAACACAATAGACCATTTTTCATCGGCAGGATCAGTGGCATAGAATACTTGGTGAGCTTGTGATGCTAAAATAAAAGGCTCGTCTTTATACCCCACTTTATTAAGATCGACCTTCATGAACCCAGGGTCAACTTGAAGGCCATTGTTGTTGTCAACCCACTTGCAACCAAACACAGGCACTTGAAAGCATGAGTAATCCAACTCCCAAATACATTCAATGACCCCAAAATATGACAATTTGGAAAATGCGGGATTTCTGTCTTTGAAACTTGAGATATGCACAGATTCAGCTATGAGTGTGACACCGCTATTTTGCATAGTGCGTTGATGATCATGTTCTTTCGTATAAAATATATATTTATTAATTATATAACCAGAGTACGAGAGAACATTTGAATTTGGACCATTTGCTAGCCATCTCAATCTTTCAGAAATTGAAGCAGGATTTTTGGCAAATTCTGAAAAAATGTGTTCTTTTAGCCACGATATAAAACTTTGATTGTGCTCTCTTGTTAACCAGTTTTCACTCCTGTTAGGGTTCAAACTTTGAAGGATTTCCTTGTGCTTTTCAACATATGGCTCAACCTCATCAGCATTGTGTAGTATATACAAGTGTGCTTGCTCCAATTCGATGTCTGACATGGTGACTAGTTTACTTGCACCAATCCCTTCCCCTATTGTTTTTCCATAGTGTCATGACATTGGAATCCCTATGGGCTCAACATTAGAGAGGTATTTATTACAAAACTCAATAGCTTCTTCAACTAAATATCGTTCAACAATGCAACCCTCTGATCGAATTCGATTCTTCACGTACCCTTTTATTATCTTCATGTAACGCTCAATCGGGTACATCCACCTCATATAAGTTGGTCCACAATATTGTATTTCCATGATAAGATGGACAGTGAGATGAACCATTATGTCAAAAAATGAGGGTGGAAAATACATCTCAAGCTCACATAATGTGACAACAATTTCCTTTTGTAATGTCGGCAACTTCTTAGGGTCAATAACTTTGCTAGAAATAGCTTTGAAGAAAAAACAAAGTTTAGTTATGGTCCATCGCACATTTTCTGGTAAAATGGAACGTATAGCTACCGGAAGAAAGTTCTCCATTATAACATGACAATCATGAGACTTTAAACCCTTCAATTTGAGATCTTTCATAGATACCAAACTCTTAATGTTTGATGAGTAGCCCTCTGGAACTTTAACGTTCTGAAGAACCTTACACAAGATCTTTTTCTCTTTTCTTGACAGAGTATGAGCTGCTGGAGGTAGAAATGTACGCTTACCCTCCCTCTTAACCGGCCCCAATTCATTTCTTAATCCCATACTTTGCAGGTCTA